CCCAAAACCAGTTCGGTTTCACAAATGCTGTTGGTACTAGAGAGGCTTTGTTCTCAGTACAAGTCTTATTCCAGAGATGCAGAGACGTCAACTGCGACGTATAAACATGTGTGGTTGATTACGAGAAAGCGTTTCATCGAGTACAGCATGCCAAGATGATGCAAATACTTAAAGAAGCAGAAATTGACAATCAAGATCTGAAAATAATTAAAAATCTTTACTGGAATTATTTATTGGACAGCAAATCTTAGAGTTGAAGGTGAACACACTGACTATGTGAAAATCCCCTGTAGTAACCCCTGAAAAAACCCTGTAGTAACAAATATTCGCACAAGAATTAAAGTAATAAAAAATGCAAAGCCGAAGAACAAACCTAATATGGAACTACTAAAAGATGTACAGATTAAAGATAAAACCACCGTAAAACTAAATGAAAAACTCTCAGAAATAGACCGAACCCAAATAAATATCCAAAATATAAATACAACTTGGCAACAAATAAAATCCATCGTCGTCAATTCTGCAAGGGAAGAAATTCCAAATACACGATTAATGGCAAAAAAAGACTGGATGACACCAGCTATTCTAAAGATGATAGACGAAAGGAGGAAATACAAAAATAAGAACACAATCGATTACAAACGATTAAATACAGAAATACGAAGGAAAATAAAAGAATCAAAAGAGAAATGGCTCGAAGAAAAATGTAAAGAAATAGAAGAATTAGAACATAGATATGATTACTTTAATATGTACAAGAAGGTGAAAGAATTTTCATTCACCCACAAAAAACAACATTGCCCACTGGTAAATAACAACGGAGAGTTAATTCATAACACCAAAGATAAAATAGAAGAATGGGAAAAATTTATACAACAGCTGTTCCGAGATGAAAGAATAGACACTACAATAAATAATGTTACTGAAAGCCCACCAATTCTAAAAGTCGAAGTGGAATATGCCATTAAACAATTAAAGACCAACAAAAGCCCTGGACCTGATGAAGTTTATCCTGAAATACTTAAATTGATCGAAAGTAATAACATTGATTTGTTAGTAATTTTATTTAATACAATCTACGATACTGGGGAAATACCAGAGGAATGGTTAGAATATATTTTTATTCCCATTCCAAAGCAAGCTAACTCCAGGCGATGCGCAGATTTTAGATTAATAAGTCTTATGAGCCAAGTGCTTAAAATTCTATTAAAAATACTTCACAATAGGGTATACAAAAGGTGTGAAAAAGAAGTTGGATACGATCAATTTGGATTCAGAGCCGGAATGGGGACCAGAGAGGCCTTGTTTTCACTACAAGTACTGCTGCAGAAGTGTTACGACCAACAAAAGGATGTCTTTCTATGTTTTGTAGACTTTGAAAAGGCATTTGATCGCGTAAACCATAATAAAATGTTAAATTCCTTGCAGAGCATCAACTTGGATAGTAAAGATCTCCGATTAATTAAGAACTTATATTGGAGGCAGAGTGCCAAGATTAGGATCGACGATCATACATCTAGAAATATTAGTATAAATAAAGGAGTAAGGCAAGGATGCATACTATCCCCTATGCTGTTCAATCTTTACTCGGAACTACTATTCAAGCAAGCCTTGGAAAACCTTTCCACAGGAATAAAAATTAATGGAGAACCAATATCTAGCATAAGATATGCAGATGACACTGTCCTACTGGCTGATACAGACACAAACTTACAGGGGGTTATAGACCACCTCAAGGATGCTTGTCGAGAGTTTGGAATGAAGATCAACGAAAAAAAAAAAACAAAAGTAATGGTGATCCAAAGAAAACAGAATATCCCCTTACCTATAAAAATAAATGGGAATATTTTAGAACAGGTAAACCAATACAAATACCTTGGCTGTTGGATTAATTGCAAGCTGGACCCAGAACAAGAAATTAAAGCGAGAATTGCTCAAGCTAGGGATAGTTTCTTTAAGATGCGCGTTCTATTCTGCGATACACATATAAATATTAAATTGAGATTAAAACTTGTAAAATGTTTTATCTGGTCTGTTCTTCTCTACGTAGTCGAAACGTGGACTTTAAAAATAAAGAGCCTGAATAGAATCGAGGCATTTGAAATGTGGGTGTACAGTAGAATTTTAAAAATTCCTTGGACAGCACGAAAAACAAACGAAGAAGTACTAGCTAGACTCAATGTAGAAAAAGAACTATTGAGAACAGTCAAAAGAAGAAAAACCAGTTATTTAGGGCATTTGTTGCGCAACGAGAAATACTACATCCCTCAGTTGATAATAAAAGGCAAAATAGAAGGAAAGCGAGGAATTGGAAGAAAAAAATTGTCCTGGTTACGTAATATCAGAAACTGGACAGGACTTGGATTTGAGGAACTCTTAAGAGCAGCTGAAGATAGACAAACGTTTGCCACCATAACCGCTAACCTCCATTGATGGAGACGGCACTTGAAGAAGAAGATGTGAAAATCATGCGTAAAGTGAGGCAAGGCTATATCTTCTCTCCTCTTATATTCAATCTGTACTCTGAAACAATATTTGTCGAAGCTTTGCACGAAACTGAAATAGGTATTCTACTAAGGATGTTATGCGTTTAAGCAGTATATCTAAACGTCCACTAAACGCTAATAGTTGTTGATCTACTGTGAGATACTCACTAGGAATAAAGTTATTTTAAAAATTCTTCTTCTAAATGTGCCTATCTACTAGAGATGTTAGCGACCACATTGACGCATCTTATTCTATTCACAGCAGCTTGAAATAGATCAGTTGACGTTAGACCAGTCCATTTCCTAAGATTGGCCAGCCAGAATATACGTCTTCGTCCAGGGCCTCTTTTACCCTCAATCTTGCCCTGTAGAATCAACTAAAGAAGTCGGTTTTTATCATTAGGCATGATGTGGCCGAAGTAAGCCAATATTTTATTTTGTATGGTGTTAATAATTTTCTTTGTCTTTTCTTAGCCTCTGGAGAATAGTTATGTTACTTGTGTGGTGTATTATATAAGACCCTCAACATACATCGTTAACACCACATTTTAAATGCCTTCAATCGTTTTATGGCATCTTCTGTAAGGCTCCAGCTTTCTACTTCATAGAGAAGGATAATAAAGACGTAAAATCTAAGAATTTCTCTTCGCTCTGTTCTTGTCTCCACATCATCGAACCGTAGACATCTTATGAGAAATCGAAACCTTTTCTCGCTCATTGCCAGGTAGCATGACTCAACTCCGGATCCTTGAGAATTATCCGATATTTTACGTAAATCTTTTCTGAAACTTCTAATACCAATCAAGAATAATATCTCAATACATGCATGAATTTCAGTTCCATTGGCTTGTCATCAATCTTGATTTCTTCGGTAATTGCTCCGTATCTTTTCAATATAAATATTTGTCGAGACAGATATTAGTCTAATAACCGTTTCATCCAAAAATTACTTCAGGCAATCAATTTTAGTTTTAAATAGTGCGTGCATTTTCTTTTATACCGGGCATAAGTTTATTGAGATTCTGAGAACGGATACGAACCAGTAAATTGGATTCTATCTTTTTCCATTTAGTCACCCTGTCGTTTCCTATGTAACAATTTAAAAAACGTGCTTTATCAGAGACGTTTTCATCTTGGGCCAATTCCTCTTGCTCCGATGTTTCTAATTCTGAGTCTGTTTCGTGATCACTCCTTTCAGCAAAATTCGCATTCAACTCAAGATCATGTTTGGACTCATCTCACAGTCTTCTACTTCCGCACTTGATTTCCTCAAACCATCGAGACCAAACTTTCCGTCTTCTTTTATTATTAGACATAGTATTATCTAAAATATATCAGTTACCTTGAATTTTGAAAACAATAGAATCAAGTATTTGTAATGTAGTAAGATGTTGTAATTCAGACATTTCAGAATCTCAAAAACAACAAGAGCTGATGGTGACCAAAAAATTAAAATAAAGAGAATACGTTCGTGGTCAGTTTCTATGCTCGCTTCAGCAAGGCCACCGTTTGGAAGTTGTAAGCTGCAGGTTCTTCTTTAGGTTGTTAATGTAAATTACCACCTACCTATCAATACACATAAACACTGTAGCCAACTTGCTCCTTTGCCGCTGAAAGAGAAGTTCAGCAAATGGGATAAAATAGATCATTTAATTTATGTGTACATCAACTCCTGGCAGCTGATCTGGTTCTGGTTCCATCAAGCAGCTTTTATTTCTATTCATTTGTCTATCACGTATGCTGACTATTATTCAGAATGGATTATCTCATCAACCATATACTCTCGGTCAGTTTCAGAAAAAAGACTTCATCCTCTTTACCGGAAAACTTCCGTATATTCCTTTTATAGCAAAGCTACTAGTTTAGTTGTAGAAGGGTTTACAGATAGGTTTTCTTTTAGACACCTATAGGTCAATACACCTATAGAATGACAATACACCCCCCCCCAAAGGCACCTATAGCTACACTTAGTTTTCTGGCTTCTACCATAAGACTTTTTTTAAACCGTTCTTTCTATTCGGATTGCCGAATATAGGCCTCTCCTAATTCTCTCCATTCATCTCTGTTGTTTGTAAGACGTTTCCACATTGGCCCTGCAGCTCTTTTAATATCAATGCTCCATCGCATTTGAGGTCTTCCTCGTGGTGTTTTGACTTCATATGGCTGCCAATTCCTGATTTCTTTATTCCATCGGCCATCCTTAATACTTATCTGTAGATATTATTCTACTCTGAAACATCTTAATATTCCACTTGTTTTTCATGAATCTACTTGATTCCACAACTTGGAATGAGTGTATTGTAATTAAAATAGCAGATTCGTTTTGAATTACTACTTTAAACTCTCTGTTTTTCTGCCGTAAGCCAAAATTTAAGTAAGACAAAACCTCTAGACATATAATCGAAGTAAGTGTGGTAACCTACACTGATATTAAGTCGTTATCAAAAGTGATATAAATATATTAACACAATTTTAAGTACTATAATCAATTAAATAAAATTTACTGTTTTTTAGGTAAACGACTTGGACTACTGGGTTTATTAGTGGCATTATCGTATATAGTGCTTAATTTTAAAATAGAAAGATGCCCCGAAACTCCATCGAAGATTGAATTTGAACCTAAAAGTTTTCCATTAGTTTCTAAACTGGGACTTCCCCTTAAAATTACGCCTATAGAAAATAAATAAATTAATGTAACACATGATGTAGAAACTATTTTTTATGTTAAAAAATGATTATACAAATATAATAAAAAATGTTTTTTCTTTTGTTTTATTTTATCATTGCTCTATCACAAGAAAATACCAGAATTCTTCTTAACGTGCCCTATAAAGTCCCCTTGACGTTGGCGATTAACATGGCGAAACTGTCTCTGTCTCGAGCTATTCTAAAGAGTTGCTCAGCTTTCCTTATTCCTGTCCACTTCCTGATATTCTTCAACCAAGAGGCCTGCTTTCTACCATCCAATTCCTCTGCGTCCTTTGATTTTACCCATCATAATAAGTTGAAGAATATTATATCGATCTCACCTTCCTACGTGTCCAAAATAGGCCATCTTTCTACATTTGATGTAATCAAGCAGCTCGTTAGTAGCATTTGCTCACTCAAGGACTGCCACATTTGTCAGCATAGCCGTCCATGTAATTTTTAGTATACGTATGTGCAGCCACATTTCAAAGGCCTCCAGACGATTAATGGTGGATATTTTTACTGTCCATGCTTCGACACCGTATAATAAGACTGACCAAATGTAGCATTTAACCATGACGCTTTCGAAGTTGAAGTTGCAAGTTATTATTGCAGAAGAATGACCTCATTTTTAAAAATGTCGTGCGGGCTATCTCGATTCTACATTTTATCTCTTGATCTGGATCTAGTTGTTCAGTAATATGGCAACCAAGATAATTAAAACTGCACACTCTTTGAATTATATGACCATCAACATATAATCGTGCATCTTGATGTGCTAAACGGCATTTGCTCTCTCAAGGACTGCCACATTTGTCAGCATAGCCGTCCATGGAATTTTTAGTATACGTCTGTGCAGCCACATTTCAAAGGCCTTCAGATGATTAATGGTGGATATTTGTAATGTCCATGCTTCGACACCGTATAAGAGGACTGACCAAATTGTACCATTTACCCATTCGCTTTCGAAGTTGAAGTTGCAAGTTATCATTACAGAAGAATGACCTCATTTTTAAAAATGTTGTGCAGGCTATCTTATTCTACACTTTTTCTCTTTATCTGGATCTAGTTGTTCAGTAATATGGTAACCAAGATAATTAAAACTGGACACTCTTTGAATTATATGACCATCAACATATAATCGTGCATCTTGATGTGCTAAACGGGTAAACACCACGTGTTTTGTGTTTTATTTTTGAACAGTTTATGTTTAGGCCCAAACTCTCTTCCCACTGTATCAATGGCATTTTAAAAGGCATTGTAGTCCATTTATGTCATCACTTACTACAAAATACTACAAATAACTATATCGTCTGCATATCTGATTGTATTTATCAGAATTCAATTACCTTTCACGCCCGATTCCAAATTATGCAGCGCTTCTTTAAATATTCTGTTGTTAAAAATATTAAGTTCAAGAAATTATTTCTTCTGAGCATATAACACTTCTGTTGTCACTGATCATGTATATATACATTCATATAATAATATTATACGAGGTCTGGATATTAAATAACGAGACTGCGCGCGCAGAAGGCGTCCTAGAGGGGTAGGGTGGGAAACGAATGCGGCGTTGGATAGCTGGAAGTGTCTACTCTTTCAGTACGAAAACACGTTTTTGTCGCTATAGTAGTATTTTTTCTGTAGAGGTTAAAAACGAACGTGTTTTTTTTTTTCGTGCAGATATCAATGTGTGACGAAAAACACGAGCAACGGATCAATGTAAAAATTTCTCGTTAAATTAAAAAAAACTCCGACTGAGTGCTATAAGTTGTTGAAAGAGGCCTATGGTGAGAATTCTCTATCTCGTACGCGTGTTTTCGAATGGTATAAAAAGTTTTCTGAAGGTTGAGAGAGCACCGAGGATGACCAACGTCTAGGTCGACCTGTCTCTGTTTTAATTCCGCAAATAGTGACCAAAATAAATGAAATTGTGCGCGTAGATCATCATATGAGTATTCGGATGATTGCTGAGACTCTAAACGCCAATAAAGAAACTGTCAGAAAAATTTTACATGACGAATTGAACATGAACAAAGTCTATACGAAGTTAATCCCAAAAAATTTGACCCCTGACCAAAAGCTCGTCCGTCAACAGATCTGCTCAAATTTTCTTCAGCGATTAGATAAGGAGCCTAAATTGATGGAAAACATCATCACTTACGATAAAACCTGGATATTCCAACACGATGTTGAAACTAAGCGGCAATCCATGAACTGGAAAAACTCCTGCATCGCCGAGAATGAAAAAAGCAAGGATGTCGAAATCAAAATTTAAAGCCATGCTAATCGTTTTTTTTTTTCGACATCAACGGTATCGTGATGACTGAATGGGTTCCAGAGGGTCAAACTGTCAAACTTACTATTTGAAAGTTTTGGCAACGCTCCGAGAGCGAGTTACACGCGCTGTCTATGAAGCGTTATTTAGCCGCAAGAGGCACTCCAGTACTCGAACACGCGCCGTACTCGCCTGATTTAGCACCCTGTGACTTTTTCCTGTTTCCGAAGATTAAGTCTGCCTTAAAAGGAACCCGGTTCGAGTCGATGGAAGAGGTGAAGCGAAAATAGGCGGAGCTCCTAAATGCTCTTACAAAAGAAGACTTCCAGCATTGCTTTGATCAATGAAAAAAACGAATGGAACGGTGTGTGACGAGGGAAGGGGAGTATATTGAAGGGGAGCATTCGATTGTAGAATAATTTTTAAAATAAAACTCTCTTTCATAATCAGTCTCGTTATTTAATAGCCAGACCTCGTATATTGATAAATCCCATAATTGGTAGTTATGTAACAGACATGGTATAAGATTTTATAGGGTGAAGATTGTAATGAACGCATAAAATACGCATATGAACGAATAAAATAAAGAATAGAAATAACGAATTACTTTATTATGATACTTAACTTGTTTATTAGAAATATGTAGATTCGTGCAACAAAATATTTTAATATCACTTAAAAAGTCGTATCTCTTATTTTTATTGTCATCTAATTAACTAATTTTTTGAAGTTTGCACTTTTCATTGCTATTGCTTGTATTTAATTGATATTTAATATTGTAATTATTTTTAACTTTCATATGCCAGGGAAATATAACGTCTGTGAAGTAAATTAACACCAGATTACTTCTTCTAGTTCTTTTTATCCTAATTTTTAAATCCTTTTGGCTGAAAAATTCTACAGCATATAGTCGACCATGCAGCAATAACTGCAGCTACTAAGTAGAACCCAATGGCCACCTGAAGATGAAAGTATATAAATTCAACTACATCTAACCACTACATTCTGCAACAATTTAAAGCAAACAACGATTTATCCAGTGATGCTATAAGTATCATATTTTATATTTCTACGACAGCAAAGCTGAAAACGAGAAATAATATAGTCCAAAAGCTATGTGGCACTACATGGGGTCTTCAGCCTCCGTACTCAGATCATCCGCTCTTGGACTTGTATACTCGGTGGCTGAATATGCTTCCCCGGTATGGCTCAATAGCAAACACACAAAGATTATTGACACTCAATTAAACCAGACAATGCGAATGATCTCAGGTACAATTAGACCCACACCGAACTATTGGCTTCCCATTATGAGTCACATTCCACCGCCGAAACTGCAAAGAAGTCATTTTCTTCTCAGAGAATATCGAAAAATTGAGGCTAACCATGAACTACCGATCCACCAAGATAAGCTTGATATCGAAATAAACAGACTGCGCTCCAGATATCCTCCATTTCTAAGAGCCAACTCCTTACATCAGGAACATTTCAACCTGACCAAAGCTTGGAGAACACAATAGGAGAGCGACTCACCACAGGAAGCACATCAAATGGCCTGTATCGATCAGAAACCGCCAGGCTTTGAACTGACCCGCAATACATGGACAACGCTAAACAGAATAAGAACAAGCAGCGGTAGATGTGCTGACAGCTTATATAGATGGGGAAAAGCCCTTACTCCTGAGTGTCACTGTGGTGCGCAACGACAGACCGTCCGTCACATTGTTGAAGAATGTCCCCGAAGGCGATTCCGTGGGGTTTTCGATGAGTTCCTGAATGCGACCGAAAATGTTTTACATTATATTAATAATACATTAGATGCTCGTTTGTAATACTTCATGTAACGTTTTTTATATTGATTTTTTTAATTGTGTGTTCTTATTGTATGCCATACGATAAATAAATTTATATTTCTAAAGCTAGAAGTAAGATTTGGTTTGATTTTTATTATCTTTAATATATTTTTATTTGATAAAATACATACGATGAGTTAATATCTTAGTTTATTTCTTCTTTTTTTTTATGTGCTTATGCGTTACGCGGCTCGGAAAAGCTGCATAAATGTTGTATTGAACCAGACTTTGAGATTCTTTAAACCTTAACTACAGACATTCCATTATTACCACGTAACAAATATTAGGTCAAATACAAAGTTAATAAAAAAAATAAATGCATAATGTATTTTCCTGTAGTGTCTAGATATAGGAGAACTGGTGAAATAATTGATTTTAATAATAAAATACAAGATTTTTAAAGAATAATCTATTAAAGGATAATTTTGGTAATATTTGTGAAATCTGCAAGAGGTAAAAATGTCAAAAAAATTAATTGGCACATTCCTTGCAAACTCTTGCCGTGCATTGCAAACATATCGGAGTCTTACACATTATGCAAATATGAGTGGTTTTTGAGTCTTTTATCATGGTCTGTTGATAAATACCCTGCATTTGAGTTCACATCACAACCACCCACATTGCACAAGAATTAATTTCCTCATTCCATTTTTGCAAAATTTCCTCAAAATTTTTCACTAAATTTAATTCTCTTTGAAGGTTCAGGATGACTTGCAGAGTCCATTGCTTTACTCTTTTCCTAAAAACACAGAAATATTATAAACAGTTCACATTTTACCCACATATGACTAATTAAAAATACTTACTGAAAAACAGACCTATGGTAAATTTAATCGGTTAAGATTTTTGATGTGCGCTACGAAAGAAAATATTCACAATACAAACCAACCGGTTTGATTACCACTGTTCATATGTGATACAAACTGTCCGAGAGGTACTGAGACACATGAAATTGTAAGTGGCGCGGATACCCCGAAATCCGCGTTTTGGGACATCCCACCGGTAAGAAATACCGGATCTCTGTAGTTTAGGGTTAACCAAAATGTTCTTCTTCCTGGACCTCGTTTTCTAAATATTTTGCCTTGTAGGATGGTTTGAAGAAGAGCATATCTGGATTCATTTCGTATAATATGTCAGAAGAATTGTAACTTTTGAGATTTGATGGTGGTCAGTACCTCTCGGTTATTATTCATTCTTTTGAGGACCTCCTCATTTGTTCCAGAAGATCCTCCAGGATCTTCTGGAACACATGAATGCACTGCTGGAAGCACAAACCTTTCCTGAGCCTTGGAGGACATCGAGGTTAATACTGCTTCCCAAAGCTAGGGAAAAGTATCGCCCCATCTGTCTTCTTCTGCTGCGAGTAAGCATAGACGACATGATTGAGAGGTCAGATGGTTTATCTCGGAGGCAATTTGGTTTTTGTAAAGGAAAAAGCACGATTGATGCAATCATGAGTGTACTCGAAGCATTGCGCAACAGAAGGAATGAACATCGCTGGGCGGCCCTGCTGTTGTTTGATGTTAAGAATGCATTCAATACGCTGCAGTGGAACGAAGTAATGAATGCAATGGAGGAGCGAGAATGTCCTGGTTACCTGATGAATGTTGTGGCGGAGTATATCTGTCCGAGAGAAAGATTATGGTGGAAAAGGGCACGATAGTGGACGTGACGGCCGGGTACCCCAGGGATCTGTCTTAGGTCCGACGCTATGGAATCTGGCATATGACGGAGTTATGCAATGTGAATACGGAGAGGGTACAAACCCTTTCGCATTCGCGGATGACCTCGCTGTACTGGTAGTAGCCCGGGATGAGCCAGATCTCAAACACCGGGTTTGGATGATGCAGCACGGACTAAAACTTGCGACAGAGAAAACTAAAGCCATTATTCTGAAGGGGACAAGGAACAGGCAAGGTGTTGATTCGAAGTGTGCGGGAGCATGTCTAACACCCAAGAAACAAATAAAGTATCTAGGACTGACATTGCACCAGAATGGAAAATGGGAGGAGCACGTTCGGGAGGTGGTCCGAAAGGATGCGAATAGTGCGGTTGCGTTGGGGAGGGTGATGCCGAACATTGAAGGATGAAAGGAGAAGGGTCTTACACGGTGTTATACAGTCTATCGTCCTCTACGCGGCACCAGTCTGAAGCGAGGCGGTAGAGATAACGGCCTATAGGAGTCTCATGAAACGAGTAGACAGAACAAGTCTGTTGCGAGTGGATGCGCCTACAGGACTGTGTCTGCGGCAGCCTTGTAGAGCATCACTGGATGTGTTCCTTTGCATGTTTTGGCGGTGGAAAGAAAAGAGCTTTATGAGAGAAGAGGTCCAAACTTTACTGTGGCTGAGAAAAAACAGGTAAGGGAAAGGTGAGTTTAAAGATGGCAATAAGAATGAAACAATACGGAGGATGTGGCACAGTGGACGAAAATACTGATCCCGAACATAAGAGCTTGGGTGGACTGTGGTCACAGGCGCCTGGATTATTTCCTGACGCAGATGCTTACAGGACACGGGTGTTTTAGGGCCTACCTCTCTAGGATCGGAAAGGTTGATACAGATGAATGCCTATACTGATGATACTCGGACACTGTGACACATACGATGTTAGATTGCAGCAGATGGATAGTGGAAAGGAACGGAATGGAGAGAGAGAGAGAGATAGGTGTGAATTTTCTTACAGTGAGAGAAATGATTAAAAGAATGCCCGTCTGGGAATGATGCCGAACTAGGAACGATAAGGATCTTCTACGCGCTACCTGGAACGAGGCAGGGAGCCCCCTTGCTGATAAATAGAGTGTGGATGTGTATGAATGAAGAATGAATGAATAAAGATAGTGCTTCCGAAGTGATGCCGGCCTTACAGCGGCAATTCCGCTTTCGGATCGCTGGATGACAGAGGAGGGTCTGGTTTAGCAGAGAGGCAGAGAGCGCAGAGTGGCGACTCGGCGACGAGAGGGCATTTTAAAGTACCTCGGGAACTATCGCCGGGGGTACGAAGAATTAATCCTGCACTAAGGTTAGTCAGGCGGCGTCCCGGACTGGGATGTATTTGATTCCAGACCCCCTCGATAAAAATTAAAAAAAAAAAAAATTTAACGGGATCTTAAGTATTATCCGGTATAGCCATATCTTAAATGCTTCAAGTTTTCTGCTCATATCTTCGCTCAAGATCTACGATTCAACTCCATAAAAAAGGACAGTGAAGACGTAGCGTCGCAGCATTCTTACTTTTGTATCAAGGGAGAGGTTGTGATTCTTGATGAAGGACCCCATCCAATTGAAGGTGGATTTAGCTTTTTCGGTGCGTGCTTTAATCTCCTGTTTGTTGGTCTATTCATTTATTATGGTGCCGAGGTGATTGTAGTGCCTCACTTTTTCTACAAGGTATCGGTTAACGTAAAGTTGACCTTCTGTAATCCTATTCTTGCTAATTATCATAAGCTTTGTCTTCTTAACGTTTATATTAAGTCCATATTGTTGACTGTAATACGTAATTTTGTTCATAAGAACTTGTAGGTCTTCTAAGTTATCCGCAAATACTACGGTTTCATCTGCATAATAACCTGATGTTGTTTAGCCGGTAATCATTTAGTAGAATAACTTTTTCAGTATCGTACAAAGTTTCGATAAATATTCTTTCAGAGTACAGATTAAAGATTATAGAAGATAAAATACAGCCTTGTCTCACTCCACGCATGATTTTTACATAACCAGTGTGTTCACATTCAACTCTGAGATTTGCTGTCTGATTCCAGTAAAGATTTCTAATTATTTTCAGATCTTGGTTGTTATTTTTTTGCTTCGTGTTGTATTCGATCAAGCGCTTTCTTGTAATCGTTAAGACATGCGTATATGTCACAGTTGACATTTCTGCATCTCTGGAATAAGACTTGTACTGAGAAACAAGCCTTTTTAGTACCAACAACATTTGTGAAACCGAACTGGTTGGGGTAAATTTGACTTTCACACAGCTTGTAGATTCTCTTATGAATTATCTTTAGGAACAATTTTTGGAGATGACTCTTAAGGCTTATAGTACGGTAATCTTCGCATTTTTTGGCTCCTGTTTTTTTTTTAAGTACAATAGACTCAGATTTCAGTCGTATTTTTTCAGAGTTGTATATTATATCTTTGCGATTAATGCTATTGATTCGTTGTCCATTAGTTTGAGTAGTTCTGATTGTATAATATCAGGACCCGCCGCTTTGCCATCTTTTAACTGTGTTATTGCGGAATAAACTTTCTGCTGTAATATTCTTGGTCCATCATTTACTACTTCTTCTAGCTTAAAGGTGTTATCTTTTTAATATTCTTTCCACATTCTTATTTTACTCTGTTTGTCCAAGATGATGTTTTCGTCAGAATCAGTTATATTTCCTTGCTCCCTTTGTCTTAGTTTCTCTCTGAGTTCTTTAACTTTCCTATGTACATTGTGACTATTGTACTTTGACTGCAGAGTCTCAGTTTCTTCACATCTTTCTTAGTCTTGTCTTAGTTTCTCTCTGAGTTCTTTAACTTTCCTATGTACATTGTGACTATTGTACTTTGACTGCAGAGTCTCAGTTTCTTCACATCTTTCCCTTGCTTCTTTTTCTGTCGCTTCTCTGATTTTCGTTCTTATTAATATATTTTTGGTTTTACATTTGTCTGGGTCATTTTTAGCTTTGTTTCTCTCGTTCATTAGTTTTGGGATCTGATCTGTCATCCATGATTTTTTCTTCGTTAATCTATTTGTCTTTAAGTGTTTATCCTTTTCATTTTGCACTTTTTTTTAGTATGTTTAATCGTTTGTTCTTCGTTCGATTCGTCTCTAATTGCAGTCACTTGCTCGTTTAACGTGGCTTGGACTTCCATCCTCGTATTAAGGTTGTTCAGCATACGTAGCTCGTATGATTGTGCTTTCCTTTTCTGCAGTATTTTAAGTTTGACTTAAAATACTCCCAACAGTGGAACTTGGTCTATCTCCAAATCTGCAGGATAAGTCTTGACAGATGTAAAGCTATTTCGGAATCTTTTATTTAATAAAATGTAGTTTATTTATTTCCAAATAATTCACTTGCGAGGTTGTAATTGGAATAAGGTTTTGTGACAACATCATGTGCTCCATGTGCTATTAGTTTCTGTGTCCCAGCCAAACTCATTTTTTATATTTACTTCTAGGATAAGACATTATCACAAAAGAGTGAGCTAAACGAGGCCGAACAATTGGCTCTCAAAGAAAGTTGTAAGTTTTTTTGTTCTACCTTGGCTCCCAACTGTCGAGGTAGTTATATTGTTATCCATTGACACCTATCGATTTCCGATGGGTCTATCAAGGGAAACAATTTACCTCTTTAAAAAGGACATGATTTTTAAAAAAATACAAAAGCACAATCTTTCTAGAAAGTACACTAATATAAAGGCTTGGTATTTCAGTATAAAATTTTTTTCACTAACAAATATACACAAACAGAATAGTTTCAATATAATATTTTACAAACATTTTTCGTTTTCTATTGGCGTAATTTTAATAGGTAGACCGGTTTTTGAATTCAGTGCAAAACTTTTAGGATCAAACTCTAGCTTATTTGGAGTATCGGGACATTTTTCTATTTGAAAATTGAGTACTACATACGACACTGCTACTGATAAACCCAGCATCCCAAGGCGTTTACCTAAAAAAAATATTATTTATAATAAATAGAAAAAAAAATGTTCCAATAGATTATAGGATTAAATAATTGAATAACCGATAATTGAATTTATAAAAAAAATATCAAAATGTATGGAAAATACATGCATCTTTTTTATTCTATTGATGCCCAACTTATTTTTTTTTAAATTTCAAAATTTTGCTTATAATAATTATCAGTTAATATTTTTTTAATATGTAAATATTTATAAAATTCTTTTATATCTCTGAATTTTTTAACTTTGGCAAGTCCGATAAATAGATCACTGGGCGTTAGTGTTACCATAATTGCAAGTTAGTAGGTGTGAGTTACAAATTATTTTATTTACGTGTAAAAAAAATAAGTTTTTCTTTTATTTTTTATGTTTTTTTTAGTTTTATTAACGCATCAACAACGCAGGGTCATTAGAGTATTTAGATTATGTAACATATGTGACAGTTGATACAATATGTGAATATACATTAGTTTACAATAATAATTATAATGATAATAAGATGTATGTGTGTTAAAATGTACGTTTTAGATCTTTTGAAGAAGTTGACAGTCTTTAAGATAGGAAAATATTTTTCGGGTATCTGTATTTTTCTTCTAGAGCATCTCTTAGGGAGTTGGGTATGCTATATTTGAGTCGTTCACTGTTATATTTGGGATACCGTATTAAAAAATGTTTTACCGTTAGAACATTGTTGCACACTTCACACACCGGTTTGTTTTTGCGCTGTAATAAATAGTCATGAGTAAGTCGTGTATGGCCGATATAGAGACGGGTAAGTATCACTTGCTCTCTTCTGTCTTTTATTGTTGGTTTTCAAAGATGTGGGTGTTTGTTAACTTCGTATAGCCTTGATGGAGTATTGTTCCAAGTTTGTTGCCATTTTTGAATTAATTTTTGTTTTAAATATGGTTTCAAATCGTTTTGTACCAATCTGTTACTTTCTTCTGACATCGGGTTAGTAGGTGCGATTTTAGCTAGTTTATCTACAGCTTCGTTACCTTCAATTCCTACATGAGAAGGCACCCATAAAAGGTGCACTTGGATGTTCTTATTAGAAATGTTTTTAAGTTTTTTTTATATAAGAAGTAGAAGGGGGTTGTCACAGTATATTTGAGTCAGTGAGGATAATGAACTTAGAGAATCTGTGATTATTATACATCTTTCTTTGTTTTTGTTTTGTATTAATGATAGTGCTTTTAGAATTGCGAATAATTCAGCCGAAAAGATGGTTATCATTGATGGCAATTTAAAACTAACTGAGGTGTCTTCCGAATAAATTGCTGCTACAACTCTGTCTTCATTTTTTGACGCATCGGTGTATATGTTGTAGGTATTGCCATATCTGTTATATACCATATGTGTATGCCATATGTGTATAAAAAAAAATAAGTTTGTTTTATGATATTTGATAAAAAATTTTGCACAATGTTACAGTAAATTTTCCACAATATGTTATAGGTTTGGCTTTACAATCATTTTCTACTAGACATCTCTGCTCTTCATATTTCTCCATGAAGTGTACTTTCCTATCGAAAATTATGTCATTAAATACTTTGTCCGTAATTGATATTTTTGATCTTACTACTATACTTTTTATATCAAGGGTCAAGTTTAGGTAGGAAACTACTACAGATTGACGGAAATCAAATCAAGTTATATTTGACTTACTGACTTACTTACTGTTAGTGGCATGTTTTCCAATAAACCCATTGTGTTGATCCATGTCTCCTACAAATACATTATATACTTGCTCTTAAAACATAAATTGTTTCCTTTGAGCTTTTGATTGCATCTACTAGCTTATACAAGAGGGTTTAAATTAGCAAAATTAGATGCTCTGGAAATATACACTCTGAGCCAAAATTAACCGGCCACCTTAAAAATGGGTAATTTTTGATTTCTTATATCCCTTAAACCCGCTGACCGATTTAAGTGAGTTTGTAAAATGTTATAGCCTTATTACTTGACAAGATTTTTATAATAATATTGTTGCTAAACAGGTAAATTTTTATTGTATACCGGGTGTACGAATCAAACTGTGTTTTTTTCTTAAAGTTTGCATCACCCTGTGGAATATTCTAGCATGTGTAGAATACTAAAATTGATTCAATTTTTATCTCCGCGGAAGAGAAATAATAATCCTTTTGATAAAAGTCATTTGTTGCAGTAAAAATCCAATGAATAAAATCTTCGAAAAAAATTCAAATTAACAATATTTTGGAAATCAAAGTCTAATTGAAAAAAAAAATTCGATATCAATAATGGGTGTTGCCGCCTCTAGTCCTTAGGACTTCTTGGAGCCGGTTTGGCCGGTTAGAAAAAACATATTTATTTTGAATATAATATTAACAATATTATATATTATAATAATAACAATAATATTATTGTCTGTCTGTTAGATGTCTGTTACATTATTTCCCGTTTTCAAATTAAAATACCACCCGTGATATTCCTCATGTATTGTATCACTCCCTTATCACAAAGCTGTATCAAATCTTTCTGTTTTGCTATGCTAATTGGAAAACGTGCATCATAAAGTTACCTAAGTTCTTTAAGATTTCTTGTATTAGTTGATAATTTGGCGTGGTTTTTTCTTGTTAAATGCTGAAAGGAAATAATTGCAGCTTGTTCACATGTCATAATTAAAATAGATTCTGTTTGTCTCTCCTTTTAAGAATCTCATTCTTTTTATCTTCAACCACATTATTTTTCGCCGATTTTGTCTTTTGTTTTTAATTAGAGTGCGTGACAAATTTTTTAAATCATAAAAGTCGTAGTATTTAAATTCTTTACATTTGTATGGTTCTATGCATACTTTTTTATCATCATCCTTGATATTTTTAGTTTCTCTTGCATTTTAAAAAACAGACGTATCTGGCATCCCATAGATAGATCTGTGTTTTTTAGCGGTTTCGATACTACTATGCATAGAGTTAACTTCCATATAGGAATGTCCAGACTCTAAAAATTTGTGTTCAATATTATTTAAATGGTCTATGTTTTAAACAGCCCATTAACCAATAATTTTTGACTAGGTAGGCAAAATAGTAAGCTGTATTTGGTAATGCGGCTTCATATACACATAAATTGTAGACGCATAATTTTTGAGAATAATATAGTTGTCCAGTCCAATCCACTTGGAATCTGTAGTACGGCCTGTAGATCGAAAGTAATTGAAACAAAATCTCCTTGTTTATTAGATATTTTCTTATCATTTTGATTTTCAATATTACATACGTCTTTTATTTTCTGATGTTCTCTGTAATTGTCTTCTAAATCCGGTTTGTCAGTTGGATTAGCAATATCATATTTATTACAAACTAAATATTGATCTTTTTTAGGAACAAAAAATCTTAAATTAGAGTCGTTGGAAAATATTCTTCGATATGTAATTTCGCTAACAATTTCCAGTTTCTTCTGCTCACAGCCATTTATATAAAGTTGGTACATTTTTCTTATACATAAATTTTTGTCCAAAAATCTATGCTTTGAACTTTGGCGAATATAATGTGGGCCCATGGTTGCAAAAGACTCAATATGAGCCTTCATGATTTTTCGGGTTTTACTGCTTGTTTTATTTGGCGATGTATGCTTGTCGCTTTTATCCGTATCTGCAAAACAGCCTGGAATATCAGTTTTTCTTACAACATCTTGTATTAACGACGCTGATTACGTTTTCATATACCTGTATGTCTTGACCATTCAAAGAAAAGTAATACTTTTTAAAAATGCGACTCTGCACATACGAACAATTTAATGTCAACTGAAATATCTAGTTGAATATTAAATCTACTTCTTGATAAAGTATGGAGAGATGTAGGTCCACTAAAAAGTTGGAGACAAGCTAACTCCAAAGATTGGGTAATAAATGTTGCAAAAAGGAGGCGTGTTGAGGGTTTGCCTTATGAGATAAAAAAAAAAAGAATAGACCAGCGAAATTACTAAAACCAGTTAATTATTCTGAGTGCTTTTACAACTGTGCCAGTTATTTCAGCGAAAATTACAGACAAAGACTATGTCGTGATTATTGGAAGTTAGTATGTATAAACATGCCAGAAAAAATTTTTTATTGCGCGTATTAAAACTATTTTTTATTTAAAAAATTTAGGCTATCAAGGTCAGCTGTTTGTAATTTATATAGACTTCCTAGAGAGAGTGATCCCTTTTCACTTAGCTGATATGTGAAAAGTCACTATCAAAAATGGATTCTATCATTGGGACTATATTGTTCTGAGAATCGTCAAGAATTGAACTGCTGTCTCCAGTTTCAAAGGAATATAAAGAACAAGATATTGCACAACCAGTAACTAATTAATACCTACTAACAAAGTATTTCAAAACTTTCTTCCCAGTCACAAATATAGAAGACAAGTAATTTTATTTAATAGTCTGCTTAATTTTAGCATATTCTTATATTATTATCTTAATTTATTAGCAGATAAATTATATCATAAACACCATTAAGGTCACGGTTTTAGCTTAGTAATCATTTTTAAATTTTAACTCAACCCGTTTTCAGGTAGAATGAAGTAAGTGTACTAAAAGGTATTTACTAGTAGATATGAAAAAAAAAATGTAATTAATCATTCACGTAAAATGTATTAAAGTCACTTTATCATCATCTTTTTACTGAATATGGTATGCAGTAGTAGAAATATATTGTTGTCCGGCATAATAATATGTGGGCTTACTTTGTTTTACATGCAACAGAACTTTAATTTTATGGAAGTAAGTAGCGATATATTGTTTTATTTGAAAATGAAAAGTTGGTTAGGTGTAACTGATTTGTTTATTCCACAAATTATCTGCTGAATAGTAAGTCGTATTATTTATTGTTTTACCAGTATGTAGAGCGGAAAAAGCTGAGAATTTTGGTATACTTAACTCAATATTTTAAAATTTGTCATTTACCTGGTTTTCGCAGTATACCGACGATATATATATATATATATATATATATATATATATATATATATATAATATATATATATATATATTTATATATATATATATATATATATATATGCTATGTAAAATCGAAAATAATATTGGTTTGCTTAATATATTTCAAAGTACAAAATATAAGAATTCAAATAATTCAACTAATAAACTATAAAAGATATTTCGAAAAAATGAAAGTCCATTCTCCTGGATTAAGTAGTAGTAGTTAACAAAATTTTAGATATACATAAATTATATTCGAGTGACGTGATTCAAATTAGTGAGACCATGAACAATGCGAGCGGGTTTTCCAAATGGACTTTTACAGTGAAAAAGACAATACAATAGAATATTTAGAAAATATATTTCTCCGTTAGTTCTTAAACATTTTTAGAAACCGATTAGCACGTTAATAGTTTTTAGGAAATTTATAATTGTAGGTAAAAATTGTTGTTGGTTATCTGAATAAAGAGATGGAGATACGTATAATGAGCTTTGATTGGAGGAGATTGAAAAACGTGGGATGATTTGTAAGAATGAGAGTTAGCTACATTTTTGAAGGAAAAAAGATAATCAGTTGGTTTCCAAGGGTACAAAGCGAACAGTCGTTGTTCTCTGGTGGTTCCCCAGAGGTAGGAAGCAGCAGAAGTGAATGTTTGTGAGTTTTGTGGACTTAGTGTATCTGATAGAAGCTGATAAAGTATTGTAAGTTGTATTTTTCTTCTTATATTCCAATAGTCATTGTTCCGGCCAGAACGAGAGATTCAGTTTATCGAGAGGAGAAGAGGCGAGCATAATTTGAACGATACGTGCATTTTGCAGGAGATCATTAAAGACGATAGGCTCTAGACGCTAGGGGACTGCTAAAAATAGATAGTGTAGGCTACAAGGAACAAGGATTTGGACAACTCATCATCAGAGAGATAGTTTTACTATTCATCAGTTTTTCTTTAATTAACAATACAATTTTACAATTGCTTTAGAAAAGATAGGAATATTTTGATCATGAGATATAGAACAACAATTTTGATTTGAAATTTTTAATTTATATTACGATAGGTTCACGTACGTAGAACAAAATTTTGAGAATCATTATATGACATATTTTTTTTTATTATTGAAGATATTTGAGTGCGAATTTTATTTCAATATAATTTTATTTCAATATATAATGTTGTATCATATATGTTTTTTATTATTCCGGTATTCTTTGGACCCTACCAATTATATGTAAAGCATAGATATTGAAGCACCAGTATAACCCTGAGATAAGAGAATTAAATAGTGCCCGATAGAATAATTGCATCATTTAAATAAGTTTAATTGATTAATTAATTAGCTAATTAATTGCTTGGCGCACCTCAGAATGTTAATATCACATTAATATATATATATATATATATATATATATATATATATATATATATATATATATAATACAGTGCATAAAATAAACTAATAATTAAATAAATACCTATACAATTTCTAGGTCCTCCTCCAAACGGAATATAAACTCCTTCTTCTATATCTCCTGCGAACCTATCTGGATTGTATACGTCAGGATTAGGAAAATGCTTCTCGTCTCTATGAAGCGCATAAAATGGTACTATTACTGTCATATCTTTTTGCACTTTCAAGTCGGTACCCTCAAATGTGTAATCAGAGAGAGGCATTCTGTCTATGAACGGTATAGGAGGATATTTTCTTATTGTTTCTAAAACATACATTAAGTAACAACTTATTTGTTATCGAAGAAGAATAATATATGCATAATTAAATTAATTACAGTACTTAATACAATGTATAAAATGTATATACAATGTAGTTATAATTCAATAGTTTACCCAGTATAAAAGAACTACGATTTAAAAAAGTAGTAATTATCAGAGGAGTCATATAGTTTTAAAACTAGCTACATCCAATAATCACTTTTTTGAGAAATGGCGGGAAAACATAATAGAGACCAAGTTTTTCATATGAATGATTTCAAATCTTTAGGGTATGTAGCAGACAGGTAATTAATGTTAATATTGTTCTGAAGCTATTTTCTTGTGGCATTTCAAATTAATTACTATTTAACTGGGAATAAGCCACAATTAAAGATAAAAATACGTTTATTGACGTTTTCAATTTCCACTTCGGAAATCGTTCTCAAAATACGAACAATACTGTTCACTGTACTTAATAGGTCCAATTGTGTCCTATTTCACCGCTACGCAAGCTGGCATCGTTTCAAGGTACCCCTACCATCGCCACGCACGGAGCGAATAGGACTCACGAAAAAAAAAAAAAATAAAAAAATTAACTTACCGTTAACACACATTTCTAGGTATTTGTTTTCTTGTATTCCATCATAGGTGATGCCATTAAACTTTTGTACATTTTCTCTAATTTCTTCTCTTAATTTATTTTGTATATTTTCATTTAAAGAAAGTTCATACAGAGTAAAAGCAAGCAGTGTATTCAAAGCATCTTTACCAGCTATTAGAAAGAATATTGCACTTGAGACGGACATATCTAAATCTGCAAATTAAATGCTAAGCTCATAAAAATAATATTATATTTATAGTTTAAAGTTATATTTACAACAATAGTTTAAAATCAAATATTGTCTTTTTATATGTATTAGCTAATTGTGAAAAATATTATGATTTTCCCTGGCACAGAACTTATTTTTTCTTTTTATGACAACTATTTTTTTAAATTATGAAAAGTTATCTGATATAAAAAAAAACCGAAATTATCTTAATTTTTTTCTTTTATGGGGTGGTAAATATTGCTTAACGGGTCGTATTAGGAGCAAACATTTTAATTTATTAAATTTGTTTAAAATATAAAAAATAAATTAATAATTAAATTACTTTATTTAATTTTGAAAATATTATTTAAATTTTAGAAATACAGAAAACACTTATTTGTTTTTTTTTATTTATAAATTTATAAATTTACTGTCAAATTTGATTTATTTATATTTTCATAATTTTATATAAATACAATTTCATATAAATATAATATGGGATTTATGCAATTACTAATTCGACTACTGTAATAAACTGTGATAAAAAGAGATATTATTAAAACATGTTCATATTTATACAGTCACAGTGGAACAGTCCATTTGTGTTCCTAGCGAGAAGTGGCCGTTAGTTTACAAAATGTCATAACTGACCATAAGTTATTAAAATGTAATGTAAGCATAAAAAAATGTTAAAAACACAACAACAAAATTAGCTGCTGAATGGAAATTGGATTGAAAATATAGAATTGTATAGGAAATAGTAAAACGAGCAATTTTGTTGATTAATATAAAGCTTCTTGCTAGTCTACACTACTGCTTATTCAACCCTTTTTTTGCTGTTTTCGTATTTTCATTTAACCCTGTACTGCCCAATTTTTTTTAACTGCAAAAATAATTTCTTCTGTTACACACTTCCAGGATAGGATCAAATTAAAACATTTTTGAAAATTTTTTTTAATCCTTTATTTCCTTTGTGACTCTCAAGTTACAATGGGAAAAAAAGTTAATTTTTATGAAAGTCCACAAAGCAATTAGAATTAGGCGTAAAGCACTAATTTACATTACATTTTTCACACATTACTTTTGGTACGCCTAGGCATCAGGTTTCTTGTAACGTCCGCGCTTTTCTGAAAATTTAGGCCAATGGCCTACTCCGTTTTTCCGTATGTTTTTCTCCGGTAGAGAAGCGATAGGACCTCTTTTTCTTATCTGCTCGATTTCTTGTTCTATTATAGATAGACTGGGCCTTCCTCTCTTCTTGAGTCTCTCTTTACCTTCTTGACAAAGACAAGCGGCAATAGGTGCTTTGAAATCTAAAAGACTTAGTTATATGGAATACAGTTAAATACACAGTTAATACGGAACTTGGTTAAATATATGGAACACAATGCGAAGGTACCACTTTTTAGAACGAAGCGTAGTTCTGTATAAAGCCATCAACGAGTCCATTAATTCCACTCTGCCCATACATTTATCGTAAAATGTTACAATGTTGGGACATTCCACAAGAATGGTTTTTTTCTTTGCTTTGTCCCATTTTTGAACTAGACTTGTAGAATACTTTCCTACAAACAAACTCAGTAAATGCATCGGCTTGTTGTCCTACCATTTGACTGCTCTAAGTGTCATTCCTTCTTTCTTGTAGACAAGTTCTTCGAAACTCCCCCTTCCTCTCTTTTTCATATCTTTGTCGCTAGACAAATTACATCCTTTTAATCTGTTGGGATGCACCGTACCTACAGAGGGAATACCCAACTTATCCGGTTCAGTTTGCAATTGCATTCTTGTAAACCAGTTATCAAAATATATCTTATGGTAAGCATGTATCTTGGAATTATTGTGGCCAATTGATGAACCACATTTCCGCTGACTCCAACATTTAGTAAAGATTCTGGATGCTCTTCTTTACCAGTATATAGTTTAAAATTATATACAATTCCGTTGGTATCGAATAGGAGAAACGCTTTATAGCCCCACTTTTTTGGTTTGTTTTTTATATACATTTTTAGACTATGCTTTCCTTTGAAACGAATAACTTGTTCTTCCACTGATAGTTTTTTTATCATTGGAATTTTCCGAAAATTTTTTATAATTGGTTCTAAAAGCGGTTTGATTTTGTATAACTTATCTCCGGGAATTATCTGACTATTGTCATTGAAGTGGATATTGTTTTTTTTGTTTTTTATTTGTTCCCAGCGATTCCGACCCATAGTTTCTGCAACAACTGAAATTCGAGTAGACGCTTTCCAGTACATACTAGTTGAGGGTAAACCATACACTGACATGAACAAACCTACACTAAAAAACTGTTCTATTTCGTTATTGTTCACATTTAGAGATTTTTCGGTGTTCTTTTGGGTAGAATACAGATTTGTTTGATAAACGATGTTGTACAAAATATTGTCATATATCATTGTTCTAAAATACTTGATTGGAGTATACAGGTTTTTAGGTTCTGGCGGTAAACTAACTTTCTAAGGTTGAATTGGCTGTGCAGAACGATTAGTAATTCATTTCCATGTGATATTCTGATGATTGACCACGTCATTTTCGATGTTATTGTCATCCTCCTTTTCATCATAATCTTCCTGGTTCTCATTATTGTCTTCCATATCATCCAAGCTCACTTCTTCCGAACAAACATTTTCTGAAATATGTACCACTTCATCATCGTCACTGTCGGATTCTAGAATGGAATCTTCAGAGTCATCACCAATGTCTCTTATTTGAACATTATTTAGTCCTTTTTTTGCCATAAAATGATTTTACACAGATAGGTTCCATTTCTGTTACGACATGCAAAAAAATATGTTATAGATAATAGACCATTGTAACTATAAAATTACACATTTTTTACTCACAAAATACCTAATATTTTATTATCAGAGCATATATTTGCCACAATGGGAGTCAGATTGTACTTACTTTTAGTTTTTTTTTTTATTTCGTCATCTAGTATAGAAAGTACTTGAAATTGTGATTAAAGTCACCTATTACAACGCTGTAACACTACTAACGACAACACACGACAACTGCCAGAACCTATGCATAAAATATGACCTTGTGTATGATTAGAATGCTTTGTGGTAGACAGCTGTCTGTAACCTTACGGCATTGATTATAAACCACTACCTAGATACCTCACTCTAAGGTAAAAACGAATTCAGTGTTAAACTCCGCCCACTTACACCTCTTTGCTCCTCACGTCTAAGTACTACCTGACTGTATGGTGGCGACATTTATTGAAATCTTTGCCAATATTGAAAAATAAACTTCAGTTCCCTAGTCCGGCAATAGTGCATTAGAGGAGGATATAAGGATGGCATTCAGCATTTTCACAAGTAATTTTAACGTGCTTGTAATCTATATTATGAAATTAAGATTTTACTTCAGAAAAAACGCTAAAAATTGATTAATGAAAACATTAAAGGTTTTCTAAAAATTATTTATTTATCAACACAATATAAAAAAATAACAAAATATAAAATACATAATAAAATTAGCAGTGATAAATTACATCTCATGTAAATTACTTTTTTGTAACTTTTCAAACAAATTAATTTCCAGAATTGATGCAAATTAAAATATTTCAAGCTAATATACAGAATTTATTTCCCGATTTAGTCCATTCACTCACAGTAAAATATTGCAAAACCTCATAAGTTTAAAGAATCGCTTGGATTGACATGAAATTTAACTTACGCCTAGCTAAGATTTCAAAGAAAAAAGATGATCCATAGGCCAAAAGCAAATGCTTTTGCCCTATGGATCAGTATCAACCCTTATATATATATATATATAATATATATATATATATATATATATATATATATATATATATATATATATATATATAAGCGAGGTTCCTACAGCCTCTGCCGTTTCTCGCATTTCGACCGCCATCGTTTTCTGTCCATCCATTCGTCTTCTCTGATGGCTCTATCTCTCATTATGTGCCGTACATTTTCTTATCAACCCTTATCGGGAGTGAAAAAATATATGTTCAAGATAAGTTCGGAAGTGCCTAAAATCAGTAAGTCTAAGCAACTTTGGTTTTATAGAGGTTTTTCACTATGTCAATACTTTTCGAATTATTGAACAATAGGTTCTTATTCGTCAAATTCCATGTTGAATATTTCAACGTGAAATAATAAAAAACTGAAGCACCTTTCGACGAAAACTCATAACAACTTTTTTTAAAGTGTTTTAAAAAGGTTTATTTTTTGTTAAGTTTCTTGTATCAAGAGTATGCAAGTTATGACCAAAATATTCAGAAAAGCAAAACCTACATTTTTTTACACTTTGTGATTTTTGGTGTCGCTAATAAATTTTAAGTTATTATAAAAAAAAGCATCTTTTTCAAAATTAAAAGAAAATGGTTAAAAAATAAGTCCTTTAACAAATGAAACTTACAGATCATTATAATATTAAAATAAAAACAATGACCAAGGTATTTATTAGAGAAATCAGGACACGCATTGAAATTGCAAGACAAGCATTTATAAAAATGAAAAAAATGTTTGTTAATCGAGATCTTATCTAGTTTTGATGGGAAATAAGCCACAATTTTACTAAAAAATGGTTTTATTAACGTTTCGATGCCCAAATTGGGTGTCGTTGTCAAAATACAAAAATTATTAATGAATTAAACAAAACTGTTGTTGCTTAGTAAAAAAATTCTCCTAATAATTTATTCAATCTGACTCATTTATATTGGCAATTCAGATATATATTATACATTTTAAAGTAAAAGACTTTAAAATGATATTGTCAATATTTATGAGTTGCGTTCCTGGGACTATATTTATATTCTAGCGCGAGAATTTTACTGTCACTATTGCATGTAGTTGTCTATTTAAAGACATAATATTATTACATGTTATGATTTTTTTGTGACGGATATTCTTGAGTTGGGGTAGATTTCATGTAATCGAATTAACTATCTTTCAACAAAGTCGTCTCAGGAACGCAACTTGTAAATATTGGCAATATCATTGCCAATATTTCATTATCTACTTTAAAATGTATAATATATATGTCTAAATTGCCGATATAAATGAGTCAGATTAAATAAATTATTATAAGATTTTTTTTTACTAAGCAACATCATTTTTGTTTAATTCATTAATAATTTCTGTATTTTGACAACGACATCCGATTTGGGCGTCGAAACGTTAATAAAATCAATTTTAGTAAAATTGTGGCTTATTTCCCATCAAAACTAGTTAATTGCAATATTGCCACAAGAAAATAGCTTCAGAACAAAATCGAGATCTTCCTCTGGAGCTGAGGATAAGCGCATTAAGATGCTACGTGTTCTCGACTTTGATACACGGAATGGAAAGATATACGCTAAAAGTAGACAATATACAGAAGTTGGAAGCATTTGAGATGTGGTGCTATAGAGGAATTTTGAAAATACCTGGATTTAACGAGTTACAAATGCAAAAGTGTTAAGGATTGCAAGGTGATAAAGAACATCAACACAAGAAAGCTGGAATATTTAGGTCACATTACCGAAGGTGCGAAAAGCTTAAAATGCATTGTAAAATTAAGGGTAAAAGATCCATAGGTAGAAAAAGAATTTCATGGTTGAGAAACTTAAGAAAGTGGTATAGTTGCAGCTCAATAGATCTTTTCAGAGCAGCCGCCAATAAAGTACGGATAGCTGTGGTGATGGCCAACCTTCGATAGGAGAAGGAACTTCGACAAGAATAGGATATAAATTTTGTTCTAATAGTAACATTGTACTACAAAAAATTGACAATTTATCTAGAAATGGCAATATAGAAATCAATTATATTCTGTGCAAAATAAGAAATTGTATAGAGGTGAACTAAAATCACTATGATCTACTATTTGATCGCATACTTTTTACATTTAAAAATTCTCTGGAATTACGTCATCGAAATTTTAAAAGCAAGTAGTGGTGAGTACCAAATGCAATCGATTTTGACTTTAACAAAATACCACAAATTACCAACGTTAAAAATGAATAAAGTAAGTATATATCTTGATAAAATGACAGGGAATTTCCAATACATAAATAGATGAGGGCCATCTGCCTAGGAACAATAGGTAAAAGCTGATAAACGGACAGGATTAGAAAGTTTAAAACATCACTAATTAGATCATATTTCAAAACAAAGTGAATAAGTATATTTAAATGTTAATTCATTTCAAACTAAGATTGTAAAATTAAAATTTTAAGAAAAAAAATATTTATTATTTCTCGGTCTTAAGAAGTACTTTCATTATTGACAATATTAAAATATTTTATTATTAAAAGTCGAGAAGAATTTTCTAAGGAAACGTACATATTTATATAAAAGTGCTATAAAAATGTTCCACTGCAAAATGATGCTAGCAAATTACCCTCTGTTTTAGGTCACTGATATCCATCAATATAATATCAATATTCCCGCAGTTTTTTTGCCAAATTTTTGTGCGCTCTACGTCTTTAAGGGGAAATTTAAAGGAAGATATGTGAGTCCTTTTTTTTTATAAAATTTCGCTATAACTTGTCACAACACTTCACACAGATAATACACTTATAGTTACCCTATAACTATAAGTGTGTTCGGCCCTGACACCACTCCTATCTCCTCGCAAGTCAGAGAGAGAATGAGAATCTCGATACGGTTTTCGAGTAACGCCATCTAGTTTTTGATATGTCTTTCGAAAACCACGAGGTGAGCTATCTAGGTAGTGGTTTATAATAAATGCTTACGGGAACTACGGACGTTTATGTTAACTTGAGAGTTACAAGAGGCAATACAGGGTTAACTGTCATTTTACTTGAATTAACATTTTCAGAATGTTTGTATTTTCCTAGATTAAAAACGTTGCAAGGAATATCGTTTATAAATATTAAAATTTATTAGCGGAAAAACGTTGTACGTGCGTTAACACTAAACATACAATGTTTTTCTTCTACTTACACAAAATTACTTTTTCGTTTTCTGCGTCCACTAGTATTTTTTTCTGTGTTATTTATAGTCCACTTCTTTTCCTTACTAGTAATACACATAAGGAACACTTAACTTTACAAAATTTTGTAAATAATGTTATCAAAACATGTTTGTGTTATTATTTAACAAATTTCATTTTGTTGTTTGCAATGTTTTTCCGGGCAGGTCTTCAAATGATCATATACTTATTAAATAAATAGAAATAAAACTTACCCATAACATCTTCTTTTCCATTTAGTTTTTCTCTCAAGGCTTTATTGGCAAAGTCAACATAATTTTGTGGCTTTCCATCATATTCCTGTCTAGCTTTCATTCCCTTTTTAAATATATCTTCAAAAAATTTCAATGTAGTATCTGATATGAAATTAAGCTTTAAAGTAGTTACCCACGATGGTTTAATAAAGAAAAGATTTTGAACAATTGAATTTCTAAGACTAAATTCATTAGTATTTTGCACAAGTTTACCCAATGGAGGGGGATTTTCGGCAAAGCAATCAAGATTAGCTCCAAAAAACCATTTAAATATGAATTCTGTTGTAAAAAGTTCTCCAATATGTCCCCCATCTATTACTTCTTTATGTTTGTTCAAAAATCCCGTCATTGATTTACAGACTTCACTTAAATCATTATGCATGTTTTTTAACATCACAGTAGTAAAGAGTGGGGTAAGTTTCGTTCTAATTTTTTTCCAGTACGGATATTTCAAAAAGAATACTGAGTGCTCCATGAGAGGATGAGTAGGAGTTGCAGGTCTTCTGTTGGCAAAAACAGCAGCATCTTTTATTAGAACATCTTTAATAAGTTTGGGATCTTTTAAAACTAATAACGGTTCATCGAATATGAATATTCCAAAGTATGGTGCGTCTATTTTATCGTAAAGTTTTTTTATTTGCTCATGAATAGTTGTTTTAAAAGTAAATACTTCATAGAAGTTGCCAAAAAATAAAGTAGGTTTTGCATATGGAATGTTTCTTTTTTTCCAAAAGTCCGAATTTCGTGTAAGATGTTTATAAACTAGGACTACAATTAAGATCAGGAATATTGTAGTATCTATTATCCATGATGATGTAAGTAGCATCTAAAATATATGAAAATACATTTTTAAAAATCTTTATATCAAAAATTATTATTTATATTTATTTCATACCATGCGGTCCATATGTATGGAATAAATTTATTTTTAGCGGTATTATGTACTATGTGAAAAAATTGACAATTAATTGTATAAAAATATTGTACCCCTCAAGCACCCCCTTTGAATTATAAGCACTCCCTCGAAAATTTTAAAGAATAAATGAGGTCGTCAGGCACCTTGTTAACAAGGGATTTTAGTCCCCTGTTTGGCAATATCAAGTTTTTTAAGTATGGTGCGATCATAACTAAGAAAATTGATTTTTAAGATGTACAATTTTGATAATGTCTCTATCACAAAACTTTAGGTTGATGGAGAAAATAATGTCACCTAATATTTAGAATGTATTTTTGAATGTACTTTACAATTAAACATTTTGTACGACCTTGGGGATTATTTTGTTAATTTCTTTCTTTATCCTAACTTTGTAACCTCGGAAACCTTTTTTGGATGGTGCTAGAAAGGTCACCAATTGAGGCAATGCAAACGGCAGCCAGATGGTTGGGGAGAGCGAGTCGTGGGTTCGAAACTAGCTTTTGGAACCGAGAATGGGTCCAACGTATGAAATAAGTAAAGATAGGATAAGAGATATTAAAAAAGATACAGAAATAAACGAAAAGATAGATGGGTAAAATTACATACATAAAACAATAACAATATATTCAACAACAAAATTATGACGCTGCTGAATGCAAAAAAGTAATAAAAGTACACCAACAACTATAAAATGGTGTTATACATATAAAAATAAGCAGTAAGGTAATTAGAAAATACGTTTACAAAAAAATATAATACAATCATGTGTACAAATAAAGTTTTGTGGGCGTACCTCAAGATATTACAGTGAAAAAAATGACCAAAAATTATAACAAACACAAAAGATAATCAAAGCTAAATTTACAAAAATACAAAAAGGTTACAGACATAAAACTTTAACCAAACCGCACTTGGTTAAGCCGATTATTTGCTTCGTACTATAATTTAATGATAAACAGACTTAAATGTTCCTAATTATTACTTATTGAAATTTCTTGAATCTATTGAAATGATCTTTAAGTTGAATGCAAAAATAAGCAATCTACAGGTGAAGACATGTAGGAAATTTAGATACGTCCGGATAATGGCAGATGATATGATACCATACCATACTACTCGCCCAGATAATTTGAATATAATGATTACGGTAACTTACAGTAATTCCTGATGACTGCTGCCTAATTCACTGAAGTTAAATACTGTACTTAATATTTTACTTGTATCAAACACAGACTTTAATTAACATTAAAGGTACTTAATGACTTAATAACTATATTTAATTTAATATAGTATAGAAAAAAACTCAAATATAAAGTGTATATACACTTAGAGAAAAAAATGCACAGAGACGGTAAGAAACGGTAATTTTAGGCAAGCGACCTCACTTAATGATCGCCCCACTAAAAGTAAGTTTTTCTTTTTAAAAATTTACCAAACTCACCACCAAAAAAAAAGAAGAAGGGATATCTCCCACTTAGAAAGCATAGGCCAGTTGTATGTATATCTGAGAAGGTAAGATTCTAACGACATCGGAAAGTCTGAGTTATTTACGGTAATAGTAATTGGACGTGATCAAATATACCATCCTTTAGATTATGTTATTGTCAAAAGATTACTATACGTGCCTTCGACGAAAATTATCAATTTATGGAAAAGAACCCGCATACCGAAAAGCATTAGTTCCTTTCATACTCGGGATTAAGAAGGAAAGGAATAACAACCTTTCTTAATTAGGGAAATTCCTTGCATTCAGTAAGATTTTGAAAATGGTAAACCGAACATGAGCGTATCATCATGGGGTAAAGGAAATAAAAATAATTATTATTTTAATTATATAAAAGAATGTTACAACTTTTAAATCAGCAATACTATTTGGTCTATTAAAATATACTTTAGATTTTAAATAACCTCATGAGAAGTAATCGGCAGGAGTCAAATCGGGGGAACTAGCAGGCCATTCGATCGTTTCACGTCTTCCAATCAACCTATTAGGAAAAACCTAATGTTTAGCAGAACTGATACGAAAAGACCTGATTATTTCTAAAGTATATTTTCATAGATCAGGCAATATTTCATAGTACATTTTAATAAATCATTTCAACATTGTCGTTGGTGATCGTTCAGCTCTTTGCGTTGTGTTTTCTTTCGTAAAACAAAATCGTTGTCCATTCACCAGGTGGACGGCTAAATTAACTACAGAGGGATGCCATTTGTGTATGTAAAATGAAGAGATTCTCCAAACTGTCCCATTGACCCCATCTGATCCTTGATCTCCCATTTGATATGATGAAATTTTATCGTTATTATTTGTAAATCATCTCAATCAATCAGTAATGACCTATATAATATAAAAATAACCTATAAATGCTTATAAGATCTTATTTGTCAGTTATATACTTACCTAATCCGTAAATAACAATTAAAATAAGCTCATTGAAAAGAGTAAAATGATGAATTTAATTACATTGGTATTTAAAGAATACTAGAATCTATAATACTCATCTTACAATATAGAAGAACCGTAAGTAAAACTAGACGTCTTTTTCATTTCTACACGTAATATGACAGTTTACGTCAAAATAAGGAATCTTTAAATAAAAGATCCCCTAGATTTAATTTAAATACACGCGGCGTTTATTTTATTAAATCACAGTAATAAAGGACGCTTAACTTCCTTTGTTAGTCATAGGTATGCTATCTATAAAGCCGGAGAAACAGATGTCTGTTACTAGCACAATGGCATATCAGCACCTAGCAAGCACCAGCTACTGTCACCAAACTGGCAAGTGTGTACGTTAACTGGCATGCTAGTTCCTTTCATGCAAGCTAATCGCGAAAAATTTGATTTTTCTTGCTAGTAGGACGCTGTGAGATGCAGGGCACATGCGTGGGGCGTGCCACTGGCATGTGTGAACGTGCGCTACCGCTACGGGCATGCCAGTAGCTAGCAGAGACTTGTCAGATTTGTTGTTTTGGTGATAAAAATTATTCGTTTTATGTTTAAACTTAATAATTTAAAAAAATGTTTCGTTGGGGTGATAAAAAAACCATCAAATTTATTGCTACATATAGAGAATTGGAGTGCCTTTTGAATTTTAAATCGTATTTACATAACATTAAAATAGGCCGTACAATGCTTACACAAAAATTCAAGAGAAAATATAAGCCAAAATAAAAAATTGTTCCAAGATTTTCTCGCCTACCAATTCAATTTCTCACCCAAATTTTTCACTTTTTTGAGTTCCGCTTCGAATTCATTGTTAGATTTTTAACAATATCAGTGGTTATCAGCAATATTTGCTTTTTGAATTCATGATGACCTTCCATGAATCCCATTTTTTTGTTAGAAAATCAAAACCTTTTAATTACAAAACAAGTACTTTAGTTTTAGATGAAAAACACTCGATTGTTCACTAGCATTGGCATGTGTAAAAATCTAGCCTGCTTTTTCGCATTGCCAGTATCGGCAAGCGACCTACTGGCATGCCAATTACTAGCAAATGTGTTTTGTGCTTACCAGTTACTAGCCTATGCCAGCTACTTTCCCAATTTACTGGCATGTGTGTACCTAGCTATACTAATACAACGGCATACCAGTACCTAGCAAGCACCAGCTACTATCCCCAAACTGGTAAGTATGTACTTTAACTGGCATGCTTGTTCCTCGCGTGCTAGCTAATCGCAAAGAATTCGATTTTTCTTGCTAATAGCATGCTGTGAAATACAAGACACATGCGTGGGGAGTGTCACTGGCACGTGTAAACGGGCGCTACCGCTACGGATATCGGGCATGCCATTAGCTATCAGAGAATTGTCAGATTGGTTGTGTTGGTAATACAAAGTAATTGTTTTATTTTTAAACTTGTTAATTTAAAAAATTTGTCGTTGAAGTGATGAAAAAACCATCAAATTTATTGCTACATACAGAGAATTGGAGTGTCTTTTCAATTCTAAATCATCTCTAGATAAAAATAAAATAGCCCGTGACAATGCTTACACAAAAATTCAAGAGGAAATGGGTGAATGTGTTACTATAAAGGAGATAAAGGCTAGAATAAAAAATTGCTCTAAGATTTGCTCGCCTACCAATCCAATTTTTCACCTAAATTTTTCTCTTTTTTAAGTTCTGCTTCGGATTTATTATTAAATTTTTAACAATATCTGTGGTTATCAGCAATATTTGCTGGTTGAATTCATTCCAAAACCGTTTATAGATCCCTTTTTTTTTGTTCGAAACTCAAAACCTTTTAATTACAAAACAAATACTTTAGTTTTGGATGAAAACCTCTCGATTGTTTACTAGCACTGGCTGACATGTGTAAAATCTACCCTGCTTTTTTGCCTTGTCAGTCGACCTTTTGTTTTTATACTAGCCTTCTGTATTATCAGTGTAAAGTCGTCTGAAGTCGATATGTATTGTGTTTTGAGTTTTAACTAATTTGTGCCTTATTTCATATTATATTGTTTGGTAAGTAAATTTTGCACATAATAATCGGTAGGTTATAGTAAATTTTAGTAAATTTCATTGTAACTCTTTTTTATTTTAGTAAATTTCATTATAACTCTTTATACCTATATGGTACAAAATACCATATTGAATTATAAATCAGATTTTTCTTTATTGTAATCTATTTTGTTTTTACTACAGTAAAACTGCTTGGAAATGAGTGGCAGTCCATACATTTCTTCTGCAAAAAATTTTTAAATTTCAACGGATTTGCATACAAAAAGAGTGCTTATATTATTAGTATATTATGAATGAAAACAAAAATAAATATTTGGCCTGAATCCCTAAGAAAAGTAAAGGATTTACGCTACTGAAAATTGAAATATATATATATATATATATATATATATATATATATATATATATTTCAATTATAATCAAAACAAAACATTTAAAAGCAAAT